AAAATTGAAGTAAATTCGGTGCAAAATCAGAGATTTGGAAATGACTTAAATAATCAAGTGCATGAGTCTTTGTTTGCAAAGAAATAATAACTTGTTATATGTGGGATTTTCAAACTTCCAGGAAAAATATATATATTATGTAAAACACCATACATAGGTTTTTAAAATTTTGTGTAACAGAATAAATTTATTTTTCAACTTTCTTTTTCTGTGAACTTTTTGATTATGTAATTTCTAATCTGGAAAAGATTATTAGTAAATTTAAGAATACTACAAATCAATTTTGATAATAGAAGGATTTGCCACATTTTCTGACATGCGTCCTACCTGTTGGATGAGTTTGTTTTCAAACTAGAATCAGGTAGCTTACATGATACAGACAGACATCTTCTAAGAGTAATATATATTCAATTATATGCCTGACTTTAAAAAGTCATTTTATTTATTCACTTTTTGAGCAAAGTGACATTTATAAAAGCAGTCTAGTGCCACAGCAATCAGGATGTCAGGGGGAGTCCAAGAGAGGAAAAATCTGGTAAAGTGGAATTTTCTAAACACAGTTTTTGGATAACAAAGGGCAAAGACAACCCCATCAAAAGGCTGGACTTGCAGTCCTGATGATCAGAGGGGTGACAGGGACAACTTCTTTGCCTTGTCATGATGAGCTGAAAGCTCCGAAGGCCTTGATTCGCTTGATAAAACAGAAAAGCCAGAGGACTAAGGATCTGCACTTCTGTCTGTCCAAGGGCGGCTTTGCAACCAAAAGACATTTTGTGCTGTTAAAAGGTGAGGAACAGTTTTCAATGACTGCTGGGAGACATTTGTTTAGATGAAGCAGGATGTAAAGCTTGTTTGGTAAACCTATCTTAAGTTTAGACTTTCTATAAGATGATCAGCCTTTGGTGCTTGCTTCGGCAGCACATAGAGTAAAAGTGGAATGAGACGGAGATTAGCATGGCCCGTGTGCACAGGTGGTCGGTTTCTGTCCCTGTATAACAAAAGCCATTTTACAAACATTTTCCTCAGGAACCTCATTAAAGTAAGGCTGCTGCTTTCTGTTTTCCGTTTCCCCTGGAAATGTGTAGTAAACAATGTCTCCTGAAGGGAAAGAAGTTACACTTGACCCTGGAAGGAGCTTAGAATTAGATGAGTTCCATCCTTGATGACTTCATTTCCATCGTCCTGTCTTGCTCTGCTTTCTGATCCTCTCTCCAAGCTCTTCCATGTTGTCCTAATGAAGGAGAAGTTCGCAAACGCTGTGGAATTACTTCTTCTTTCCATAAAATGATTGCCATCATATTTGTTTCAAACACATTTCAATATAAATGATTACATATCAAACAATATAAATCTTAAGACCGTATGGTTACCAAAAGTAATTCAATTTTCAATTTTTATTGCTTCTTGTCAAATAACTGCATATTGGTAAGAGGAATATCGATAACCACAAAGAAATCAGAGAAAAAAAATCTTTAAAATAAACTAAAATATTTTAGCGACTATGGAGAGGCAGCCAAGCTAAGAAAAGCAATGAATTATAAATGAGTCCCTTTATTTTATCCAACTGTGGGTTGTTTCCACAAGCTCACAGAATCTCAGTAATAACGTGCATGTGACAATTACTTGACTCAATTACTAAAGGACACAGGATAATGTTAGCAGGATGCTTGTGGTTGATCTCGGAGAGCACCTGTCTGAATGTGTTATCTATGAGTCCCAAGACAAAAGACTTAAAGCACAAAAATGAATTACTTTCTATGACATTGAAAATATTTGACAACACTTCAATAATTAGAACTTGTTGAAGAATCTGTTAAAAACACAAGTACTTGCTATTATAAAATGAATTTCTGATTGTTAAAACAAAATTCTGAAAAGCAAACCATAATTATGTAATGAAAACCATTAATAATTTCCAACTCAGAGGTAATATCAATTGTATTTGTTGCATGTTTTCTCATATTTTTTAACATGTTTACTTATATTTCAATAACTATAGGAAGATATTTCACATTTTAAATTATATCTGTTCCATGTACTAAGGTGTGAGAATCATGAAAATATGAAAATATTTATGTAAACCCTAAGAGTATATCTAGAATATTTACAATAGAAATTTCTTTTTTTTAAGATTTATTTATTTTTTATTGGAAAGTCAGACATACAGAGAGGAGGAGAGAGAGAGAGAAAGACCTTCTGATGGTTCACTCCCCAAATGGCAGCAATGGCTGGAGCTGAGCCAATCTGAAGCCAGGAGCCAGGAGCTCTTCTGGGTCTCCCATGAGGGTGCAGGGTCCCAAGGCTTTGGGCCGTCCTCGACTGCTTTCCCAGGCCTCAAGCAGGGAGCTGCATGGGAAGCGGGGCCACCGGGATTAGAATCGGCACCCATATGGGATCCCTGAGCATGCAAGGTGAGGGCTTTAACCACTATGCTATCGTGCCGGGCCCACAATAGAAATTTCTGGATAAAGAAAGATTATTTAAAAATACCATCTCTTTCTTCATTTTGATTTTCCATGGTGATTAAAATTTTTGGTTATGGAACATTTTATCTATTTAGAGAGGTTCTATTACCTTAGCGTGGTGGCTGTATTTTTTTTAACTGAATAGAATATTTTAATAACTGGACCTAAGGATATTGTTATTTCTAAATTTTGTCACCATGTTTTATTGTTCCCAGTGTTTGTACTTTGTACTTATTTCAGTGTTTCACTGATTTGCTAGCCTGTCAGTTCCCTGTTTTTCCCAGGAAACAATCCTGCTTTGCCTTACATGGTTTGTCATCTCTTAGCATAAGAAAAAGAAGAGTTTAATTAAGGCCTGCAGATAGCTGGCTATGAAAGACATTGTCTTTATCAAATAATACCTAATGTCATAAGTAAAATATTATTAACAGATTGTTTAGCTGTTTGCACCACAGGTTTATTCAGTAATGCTAGTGTCTACATTAAATAGAGTTCAATCACACAAGATTTTCGATGGCAAACTAGGAGTCTTAGGCTGCTGTTTAGTAATGCTGCAGATGTGGGAATTGGGGAATGGCAAATGTGGGACTTTGCCAAGTCCAACAACCTGCCTACAAGACAGACACAGTGAGTTTGGGGGATTAAATAAAATAAATCTGACACATAATAATTAGTACCATGTGATCTGCCTCACACATGGAACCTAAAAATTGAACTCTTAGAACTAGACAGTAAGACATTGGTTACCAAAGGCATTGGTGATTGGAGAAGACACAGAATTTCAGTCAGAGGGAACAAGCTGAAGACTTCTACTGTAAAAAGCAACTATAGTTAGTAATAGTTCATATTGTTGAAAAAATACTTGCACATGGATGCCAAGTGCTTTTCTGATAAAAATGGTGGCTATGTGAGGTAGAACACGTGATTCTCTATATCCAGTAATTTCCCGTGTGTATATATTTCAGAGCATCGTGTTCTACACAAACACATTCAGTTTTATGGTGAGTCTTTTAAAATAAAATAACAATCAAAATAAGTTGAAAACACTTTAAGCTGTCCAAAGTTCTGTAGAAAATGATGAATGAAATGAATTATGTAAGATTTTTGTCTGGAAAATAAAATTATTCCGGGCTGATACTGTTGCATAGTGGGCTAAGCTGCAACATTTGGCATCAGCATCCCATACAGACATTGATGCAAGTCCCAGCTGTTGCGCTACTGAGTCAGCTCCATACGAATGTGCCTGGAAAACCAGCAGAGGAGGCCCACACAGGAGATGAGGAAGAAGATCCTTGCTCCTGGCTTTGGCTTTGTCCAGTCCCGGTCATGATAGCTCTGTGGGAAGTGAACCAGAGGACAGAGACTCTCTTCCTCGGTCTCTGTAACTCTGCCTTTCAAATAAGTAAAATAAAAATTAAAAGGAAAATATTTTAATGCTGTGTAGAATGTACTCATTAAAACTCTGCTCCAAATCATTGTATAAATCTTTACTGATGCTTTCTGTTCTTTTAATCTTTTTGCCATTAATATTATTAATGGGAAATTAATATTTTCCCATTTTTATATAAAAATTAAACTAAAAATTATATTTATCCGTGAAACAGGGTACAATATAACATATATTATGACATATAGTAGAATATATTACATATAGTGTAATATATCATATAATAAATAGTATACAATATTTAAGCTTAATTACAAGAAAGTTTGCTTTGAGATTTTTCTACTTAAGTTCTGAGTAAATAAAGAATAGTGACACTATCCACATAAGCAAAACAAAACAAACCATTTTTATGCTTCTGGTAATTGATACAAATATATGTCAATTGTTATAGATGTAATTTTGAGTTAAGCAAAATAATCATTGTTCTTGTGCCATGACTTTTAATCATGTTAACACCTACTAATTATCTCTTGGCTAAAGATAAATATAAATTAGTTCCATGAGTGTATTGACTGGGGTCCTTGGAGTTTTATTCATATTAACTTAATTACAATACACAGAAAGTAGAAATAAAATAAGCGGAAAGGATAATTTACCTTTTTAAAATAACATTATCTTTCATGGAAACCAATTTCTATCTTCTCTAATAAAAAATTAATTACAAAGCAGCAAGAAAATAAGTGAAATTAAAAGGAATATCATCAGAAATCTTGCATAATACAGACTTAACAAAACTTCAATTGAGTATACATATCCTTCAATCTTATCAGATCTCATATCTTTGTATGACAAATATTTTGTTTATATGTATATTTTTCCTTTTGACTTCATTTTTGTAAAATCTTTTCTGAGTGAAGTATTATTAAGTGAAAAATCATAGATGAGAACACGGTTGTTGAAATACAGATACAAAACTGTTAATGTTCTCTTTTTAACAAAGGTAATAAAGTATAATAATGATTTCATTTGTTTCAGCATCTCCTATCCAGTTTCTCCATGACATACATGCTCACAGGACAGTATCAATTCTAAACATGGGCTCATCAGTCTTCCAAAATTCTGGCATTGGTGCTTCCGGTGTCACAGTAATGAGAAGAGCCAATAGCACGTTCCATCAGCCTGATGGCTTTGTTCTGGTAGGCTTCTCAGAATGGCCTAAACTAGAAATGGTTCTTTTTGTGGCCATCACCATCTTCTATATAATGACCCTTTTTGGGAACTCAGCCATCATTATCTTGTCCCGCCTTGATCCAAGACTCCATACACCCATGTACTTCTTTCTGGCTAATCTCTCCTTTTTGGACCTCTGCTATACTACCTCCACTGTGCCTCAAATGCTGATAAATATACAGAGCCGCCAAAGAAACATCAGTTACATTGGATGCATAGCTCAACTTTTCATCTTCCTTGGTCTAGGGTCCACTGAATGTGTACTTCTTTCAGTCATGGCTTTTGATCGCTACGTAGCTGTCTGCCAGCCTCTCCACTACACAGCCATCATGCATTCTCGGCTATGCCAAAAACTGGCAGCAGTCGCTTGGGTGACAGGCTTTAGCAACTCCTTGGTGCAGACAGTGTTGACTTTCTTGCTACCTCGCTGTGGTCAATATCGAGTGGAGAATTTCTTCTGTGAGGTCCCGGCTATGCTTCGGTTGTCATGTGTTGATACATGGATCAATGAAGTGGAGATGTATGCAGCTGTGGTGGTCATCAAGGTTATCCCAGTTGGATTAATTCTGTTCTCTTACATCAACATTGTCAGAGCAGTCACAAAGATCCAAACTTCTGAGGGTCGCAAGAAGGCCTTCAACACCTGTGGGTCTCATCTCCTGGTGGTGATTATGTTCTATGGCTCTGCCATTAGCGGTTATGCATATATGGCCCCGAAGAGCAACTCAGCCAAACTGAAGGGCAAGCTTCTTGCACTTTTCTATGGACTCATAACTCCCATGCTCAACCCGCTCATCTACACACTGAGAAATAAGGACATTAAGAGAGCAGCAAAGAAGCTACTAGGAAGAGAACAAGAGCAAGGTTAGAACATGACTTAGGAGAACGTGGTCTTCTCACAATTCAGATTCCACACTCTGCAATCATTTGCCATAATTCCTTTTACCCCTTAATTCTGGATCACTATTATTACCTATGGATTTCACGTGAAAAGTTTTTCAAGGAAAAACTTCATATCCTGCTTGAAAAAAGTTTTTGGACATTGCAAATATAGCTGATCTATATCTTAATTCATTACTTTCAATAATTTTTTAAATCTGTTTTTCTTTAAAAGGCAGAGCTGCAGAGACAAGAGACAGAGAGATCCTCCATCTGCTAGTTCACTTCCCAAATGATCATAATGGCCAGAGCTGGGCCAATTTGAACCCAGAAACTAAGAATTTCTTCTGGTCTCCCACACCAACGCAGGGACCAAGGACTGGAGCCATCCTTTGCTGCTTCCCCATAAGCAGGGAGCTAGACTGGAATTGAGGCAGCAGCTGAGATTAGAACCGGTGTCCATAGGGGTGCCGGGGCTGTAGGAAGAGGCTTAGCTTATTGTGCCACAGCACTGCCTCTCCATTTTTTTTCAATATTAGGATAGGATATTCTCAGTGAACTAAGTGATCATCTGCTGTGTTGTAGAGGGAAAAAAATGAGTGTACATATGGAAAACTGTGCAATCCCTTGCCTTTTCACACCCAGCCATCTTCTCTTGGATACTCTTTAATTCTACATCTCATTCTACATAAGTTTTTTTTCCCCACAGGTAGTATATGAAGAACAATGATCTCTTTAACTGATGTCCTTGGATGTGAAAACATCTTACCAACCAAACAGTATTTATTTTATTCTTGATGCTCAATCATTTTTTATCAGCATTATTATAACTATTCTCAGCTAAAGGGTAACATCGGAATTTGTCTCCAAACTAAAAGGCAAAGGATTCAGGAGATCCTGAGATTATTCCTGAACACAAAATACATAACATAACCCCATATCTCTTTTCACAGAACCTGCTGCTCAATGAAAGGTTTGCCTCAAGGCAGATGTCTGCCTCTAGGCAGATGTTTGACACAGCTGCAGCCTTCTGCATTCTGTGAAAGTAACCCAACTTGTGTGAAAGGTCATTCCTACAAGCAGCATATCGCACTGAATTCTTCTAACATGTTTTCTTCATGTGTAGATTATGATATTCACATTGGGGCTGGAGGAAAAGCACTAGGTCAAAAGCACATGATGAGTTTACACCAAGAATATGAGCAAGCATGCATCCTCCAAGAGTACACTATAATAGGTCATTCTGTTCATGGTGACATACTTTTGCCCCTTCCAAATACATTTTGTCAGCTAATATGTGTAGTTTATTTCCTCCAAAGAATGTGGAAAATGAACTGCTTGAAGACATAATGAAATGTCTGCCATCATTCACACATAAAACATACAGAATGTGCGGAAAGATCCACATGAATCTGGAAGCACAATATTTATTTTTAAAGGATGATAGTGAAAAGGACTGGTGATATTAGATTAAGCTGTTTCTTGCAACGTTGACATTGCGTATTAAAGTACCTGAGTGCCAACTACTCTGTTTCCAGGCCAGCCTCCTGCTCACATCCCCAGAGAGTCAGCAGATAATGGCCAAGCCGCTTGGGCTCCTTCCTTCCATGTCACAGACTCAGATTTCCTGTTTCCAAACATTCCTAGTTGTTGTAACCATTTGGGCTGTAAAAGAGGGGTACAAGATTTGTTTTTCCATCTTTCTCCTCTCTCTGATACTTTGTCATTCAAATAAATAAATAAATCTTTTAAATTATAATGAAGAGAAATGTGGAAAGAGCCACCTTTCAGCTTAAGAGTGATTTGTAAAGTGAAAAATCCTTCAGTTTCAAGATCAGATTTCCTCTGGGATCAGAGATCCAAGTTGTAAGACAATAAATGCAATTATACTTATAGTCAGGATTCGTGTGTCTTGGAATTTAAGAACCATATTTATGAGGAAAAGGACCAGAAATGATCCTTCTCTGTGTGTGTACTTTCAAGTCTGGTTTTTGTTGTTCAATATTTGAACATGTCACCTTTCAGTTTCATATCAGTTATATTGTGTAATGTCCTTTATTAACACTTAAATCCACTGTGTTTGTTATTTGTATGTACTTGGTATCTGATAAGACTGCATACTGTTTGGAACTGGAGGAAGGATTTTTGTTTTCTTTTTCATTACTTCATCAACACATAGGTTATTCAGTAGCATGTTATTTAACTCCATGGTGTTACAATTTTTTCACTTTATTCCTATTGTTGATCTTGTTTTATGGCTTTTCATTTAAGGGAATGTATAGTAACTGTGTAATAGAGACTATCATATCCAGATGTGAAGATACAAGGCAGTGTGCATCTCTACTTCCAAATCAAAGATGGACTGCCTATGAAATTGTTAAATGCATTTTGACAATAGAATGCTGGACTGTCTGCCATTGTCTGTACCCACAATGTCAGGATGCACTTAAATAGCAGAATGATGGACTTATGATTGCTCCTTCATAAGGACTATACTATTGTAACAACAAAGGGGATACCAGCTGGGGGTTGAACTCTGGGGAAGGGGCAAGGGAAATCGTAGAGCCTATGCAATTGTATAATAAAATTAAAATAGAAGGAAAATTTTTTAAAAAGAAAGATGCCGAAAAACAATGTTTTATAAAACAAAACAAAAAATCTTTCAATAACAGTCTCACATGCTGAGAGTTTAGGAGAATTCAAATGCAAATGTTATAATCCTTCAGCCTGGGAGAAAACTGAAAGATAAAGATTAATATCTCTTGAAAAGTTGACCAGTCTTGATTTTAAGTCCTGGTGATTGCATTTCAACCTCATAGAGCCTTGTTACATATTTCCTTTCATGAATGTACTTCTTTAGTATATTTATTTTATTTAGACATGTTTTTATTTTGTGAAAATATTGAAAACTTTCCTTAAAAATCCACAAGCTTTAGAAATTAAGTGAATATTATTTTGCATGGTTAAATGGTACTTGGGGTGATGTTTTGAACTTTCAATTAATTCTTCAATTTCTTATATGATAATATCAGATAAAAAATTTCATAAGTCATTGATGAATAAATAAAAGAAAATCTCAGCAATGTTTTTGTAAACTTTGAACAAATCTGAAATGAAATTGTGATTAGGACTATGTTGTTTCATGAATAAAATGGCTATACATGGCTTTCGAATCCCCTAAGATGTATGCATCTACTTTGAGATAGCATTCTGTACTTCATAGACCAAATGTGTTTGAATAAATTTTTGTGCTTTGAAATTATAAAGAAGACTTGCTTATTTAACACGGTGTATTTAAGCTACCATAAGCCCCTCATGTAATAAGTGGATTTGGGGCAGGGGATGTTATCTCTTTGTCAGAAACCTGGGTCTTGTCTAGGCTGTGCCCAGGAGCCAGAAACTCCATTTGGATCTCCCACACAGGGGTGACAGACCTCAAAGATTTGAGTCATCCCACACTGCCTCCTGGACACATTAGCAGGGAATTAGGTAAAAATACAGAAGCATCATGTCCCAATTTTACCTGCTGCAAAACATCTGCACTTCAGTTTAAAATTTTAAACATAACCTCAGATTCTATTTCATGATGTTTTAAATGCCTGTTAAACCCAACCAGGGGTGGGGGCTCTATTTCCACCAAGGACTAGGTAGACATTTATAATCATATAAAAGTATCAATTTATAAATTATACCCATATAGAGATTTATTGAATTTCAAGTGCCTTAGCAAGAACAGAACAAATGTTTTGTGGGTCTTATATGCCTCGTAGCCTGAAAGCTTCCCACACATGCCAATGATTTATATAAAATGCAAGTTTTAATCAAAGCAATTCACCTTTGTTTTATAACAGGTGTAAAGAAATCCAACAGAAAGTGGAAGCCCAAAAACAATATAATTCTGCTCCGAAGAAAGCATTGTACCTATTTCAAAAAGTGATAAAAAGAAATCTTACGAATTAACATTATCCAAAAATCTTCATTTATTCTGAAACCAATACCAATTCTATCAATGATGCATATAATAGTAAATTATATTTAGCTGCAAGGTTTTTGTTTTCACTTTTTCTTCTTCCTTTTTTTTTTCCTTTTATTTTAAAAGCAAAGTTAAAGAGAGAGAAAGAGGCAGAATCTTCCATTTCCTGGTTCATTTGCTGATTGGCTTGAAAAGCCTACGGCCGGACCAGCCTGAAACTAGAATCCAGGAGTTCCATCTGGATCTTCCACATGGATATCAGGGACTTACGTACTTTGGCCATCTTCTCCTCCTTTCCTCGGAACCTTAGTAAGGAATTGGATTGGAAGTAAAGCAGCTGGGAGTCCAACCAGTCCTATATGGGATGTCACCATCATGGGCAACAGTTTAACCTGCTGTGCCACAATGCTGGTCCCTGTGTTCTCTATTTAGAGATTGTTCAGTGATGCAGAAATGTATCAACAGGAGTTCAAATGCTTTATAATTTGCTTATAGTTTAAAACTAAGTAAAGAGCTTCAAATTATCAATTATACAGATAAGCTGAATCCTTAACATTGAAAACACTGATTTGATTTTTTAAAGTTGCTTATGCTAATTTGTTAATGAACTATGATTTCATAATCTTACATAAAATAATATTACGTTAAACTAAATAAAAACAGGTTATATTAAAATCCAAGTTATTTAAACATGTTAATATTTTATACAAACATTAGAAGTAGTTATGCTAATATACTAAATTATATACCAATATTTTATGCTAAGTTTATATTTTGTACTAGTATGCTAATGTTTTTAAAAGAAATTATATAAGGCAGCTTTAATCTCAAGATCATTAAATAGTCTAATATTTCTAAGGAATCATTTTACATAATATAAATTTTTATCTATAGAGCTGTTTATTATATGTAAAGTCAACATGTTTTAAAATGATACAATTTTAAGGGGACATAATTGGAGATTATATTAAATGAAATAAATCAGAGACAGAAAGCCAAGTACCACGTGTCCTTGCTTCGTATGGAACCTGGAGTGGTTGATTTTTGAAGAAGAGAAGGGAAGAGTGGTTACTAGAGTCTCAGTGAAGTGGAAGGAAGACAACAGTTGGATAACAGGTACCAAAACAGAGCTAAATAATAAATAAGTTCTCGGGTTCAATAACTTAATGGTGTGACTATGCCTTATAGCAAACTATTTTATGATGAACTAGAAGAGTTTGAAGACAACAAACAGAAAGTAATGATGGTAATATGAAAAATCTAATTACTGTGATATGATTATTACATGTTAAATAAATGTATTGAAGTATCATATTGTGTTCTATATCCATTTATTATGTATTGATTCATAAATGAAAAATTAAATTAAAATGATGATTTGATACATTTGTTATCTAATAATAAAATGACCAAAGTCATTAAATCCAGAATATTTTCTTCTAATCAGTTTCAGCTTGAGCAATAAATAAAATCACCAAGAACAAACATTTTATGTAAAATATGGATGCATACATTATTGGAAATTTATTTCTTTGTTTCAATTTCTTATAAGCATGTAGTCTTTTTTTTCAAGATTTGTTTTTTATTGGAAAGGCAGATTTACAGAGAGAGAGAGACAAAGAAGATCTTCTATCTACTGGTTCACTCCCCAAGTGGCCCCAATGGTCACAGTTGAGCCAATCTGATGCCAGGAGCCAGGAGCCAGGAGCCTTTTATTCGTCTCCCACTTGGATGCAGTGTCCAAAAGGCCATCCTCTACTGACTTCCCAGACCACAAACAATGAGCTGGCTGGGAAGTAGAGCAGCTGGAAAAGAAATCGGTGCTCATATGAGGGCCCAGTGGTTGCAAAGCAAGGATTTAGCCATTAAGTCACCACACCGAACCCTAGCACTTAGTCTTTTAAATCAGAATTCCGTTACATTTTCTAAAGAAGTTATGTTCATTAACTCCCTCTCTGTGAATATTGATCTTATCGTAAGATTTATATTTATTAAAATTGAAAATGTTCAACTCTTGTACAACAAACAAGAGAAATAAATGTGACAGTATATAATGTCAAGTAGAAACAAAGGCGCTTATGTGTGTAAAAAGACAAAGACAACAGCATGAGTTGTTCCCCTTGGAAGCCTCCCTGACGACAGCTCTTAGCATCATTGTGATTCTCCTTTGAAACTGAGTGTGTATTCTCTCTTCATCTGAAAAGAGAAAATTAAAAATCATTTTGATCGGTTTTATATTAACTGATTATCTTCCTTAATGTTTGGGAAACTGAAAAAATCTAGCTTATGTAGTTATAGGAAACATTAATCTTTCTGATTTATTTTGTCTAAGTATCAGGAGCAAGACTTTTTTTTTTTCTTGCTTAGAATGTTTTCTTGCTGAGAATGTTTTTTTCTTGCTTAGAACTGCCACAGGCAGTTTGTAAATAAATAAATAAATAAATAAATAACAGCATCAATTGATGATAACTTGATAGGGAAGAGCATGACAAACTGTGGCTGGAATCTTGAGTTCACAGACTGCTGGTGCCAGAGACTGAGGGAAAAGGATGAGGGCAACAGTCCATGTGTGAGCAAAAATCCCAGACCAAGGTCAAGGCCTGTGTGTGAGAGTCCACAGTGCGGTAACAAGTGTCCAAGGCCACCAAATGTGTGCAGTTAAGATTCACCTGAGACAGTCACATACTGTACTTGGGTCACACTGCTGCTTCTTGATCATGAAGCATTGGCTGATAAACATCAATATTGGGCACAGCGGTAAAGATTTGTGTCATATAGATGCCTGCAATTTGACTCCCCAAGTAATGAAATAGAAAATTGAGGCAGGAAGCATTTTAGGTCCACCACCTTCCTCGGAGAAGAGGGCTTCATCTTGTGTTTCTGTTTCCTATTTGCTCAGCTGCACACGGCTTCCCTCTCCAGTCCTGTCCATGCTGCCCTGCTTGCAGTAAGTCCAAAAAGAATATGCAATCATTTAAATTTTAGTAAACCAATCAAAGAAGCTAAATGTGAGAATATAGAGATTGGATTTTATTTTAGGTCTCCCTTCATGAAACAATTTTATTAAAGCCAAGAATATCTGTAGAAGAGTATCACATATTGAGATAATGTATCGTTCACAGATTCCTTTTTAGCAGATACTAACGATTAAAGGGAATGTTCAAAAATGCTTAACTCTTGTTTCCTACTTCTGCAGGCTGCTATCCTATTGACCCAGATTTTTTAACTGGATTGTTTTTAGTTCTCATGTCAAATTAGAAAAGCAAATATGATGAAATGAAACGTTTTTACTGGGGCAAATGGAAAATACACAGAGAAGAGTTTACCAAAGTCAGCAAGGCCAAACACTGAAAACCTCACACCTTTTTTTAAAATTTTCTCTAATGGGAAACATATTACTAGGTATATTAGAAATTTCAAGCAAATAAAAACATGTTAAGTATATGCAGGTATTCACACACACAAAGTGGATTTGAGTCAGTTCTCTTTTTGCCTTTCACCTGGCCAAATCTGAATTCCTATAATCTATAATCTGGAAAAAAAAATCATTGAATGAACTAAATGTACAAATCAGAACTTAAAGCCCACCTCCAGAATGGATACAATTCTCTACGGACAATCAAAATCTCAATGAAAGGGTAATTTGGTAATAGTCAAATACAGAATGTAAAACCCCCAACAGGGCGCCCTCTAGAGACTTCACAGAGAAGCTGAGGGGAAAAACTATGTGGCTACAGTGGAGGAATCCATCACAGATGGCATGCAGCGAGGCAGTGTATTTATACTCCTCTGAAAAAAAAAGATCTAGATGGGCAAAATCTATCCTGAAAAACTTTAAGGAATAAACTGGTAAAGAATAACTGAAAGACATCCAGATGGTTCTAGCCCCCTGTGTATTTGGATGCAAGACAAGACTGATCAATGGATTTCCTTCATCTAATACCACAGAATCATGATTTATAGACATTGCAAAAAGAAACAAAAGGCAATTATAAACATTATGAGCTCAAGATGTCTTGTTGGTATTTTCATGCGCCACCTGCTGGTCTGGCAGACCACAAAGGTGCCAGTCTATAAGAGTATCTTACAGAGGTGAAAAACAGTTCCAGGTGCTTATGGTTGTTCCGGAGTGTCTTCTGAGTTTCTCTTGCAGAACTTATGCTAGGCTGCCTTTTGTTGTTGCTGTTTAAGTCACAAATACAGAGGAGGAGAGACAGAGAGGAAGATCTGTCTGATGCCAGCGCTGCACTGATCTGAAGCCAGGATCCAGGAGCCTCTTCCAGGTCTCCCACACAGGTACAGGGTCCCAAGACCTTGGTCCTTCCTCGACTGCTTTCCCAGGCCACAAGCAGGGAGCTGGATGGGAAGCTGGGGGCCATCGGAACCAGAAACGGTGCCCATATGGGACCCTGGCACACCCAAGGTGAGGACTCTAGCCACTAGGCCACCGCGCTGAGCCCATCAGGCTGCCTTTGAGTAATGACTTCTGTTACGTTTCCATCAGCACCTCCAGTTTAGGCCAGTTTTCCCTCTACCTCCTGAGATCTGATCCAGTTCCTGTGTTCTCTCTTCTCACCAGCCTTTTCAAAGCTCCCTTCACATCTTTGTTTCTCAAGGTGTAAATGAGAGGGTTGAGAGTGGGTGTGACCACAGTATAGAGAAGGGTGATGAACTTCCCTTGATTGTGGGCGTAGGAGCTGTTGGGCTGGATATAGACAGCTGTAATGGTCCCATAGAAAAGTGTTACTACCAGCAGGTGGGACCCACAGGTTCCAAGGGCTTTCCGCCAGGCTTGAGCTGACCGGATCCTTAGCACTGCTTGAACAATGTGCCCATATGAGACCAAGATGAGTGCCAGAGGGAGGAGAAGCAATAGCAAGGATGCCACGAAGAGCTGGACCTCATTGGCATGAATATCTACACAGGCCAACTTAATCATGGCAGGCACTTCACAAATAAAGTGGTAGATCCTGTTGTTCCCACAGCGAGGGAGTTGAAGGGTGATAGTTCCCTGAATCAGTGTGTTGCCTACTCCACTCAGCCAAGCCATTCCTGCGAGAGACTGACAAAGTCGTGGGTGCATGACTGTGGCATAATGGAGTGGGCGGCAAACGGCAGCATAACGATCAAACGCCATTACTGCTAGGAGAACACATTCAGTGGATCCAAGTGCCAGGGACACATAGAGCTGAATGGCACAGCCTATGGGTGTAATGGTCTTGGCTGGGCCTTGGAGGTTCCACAACAACTGAGGAACAATGCTGGTGGTAAAGCAGAGGTCAACAAAGGAGAGGTTGGTAAGAAAGTAATACATGGGGGTGTGGAGCATGGAATCCAGACAGGAGACCAGGATAATGGCCGTGTTGCCTACCAGTGTCAGAAGGTAAGAGATAAGTACAACCACAAAGAGAATCTTCTCAAGCTGTGGCTGACCAGAGAAGCCGACCAGTATGAAATCCTCTCCCAAGCTGTGATTAACTGTCTTCATGACCTTACTACTCATGAAGAAGATGGAGAAAAAAAAAAAAACACAGGTGTTAGTGGGATGCGATAAGTCAGAAGTACACCTAAGAGACATTGATGTTCAAAATGAGGAAAGGATGTGTGATGGACAAGGTAGAAGGGAAGAGAATTTGGAATGAGGGATGGTGGAAAGGAGAGAAAAAGAGAGAGCAATTACATTTGTTTCCTCGGGGAAAGTGAAAATATATAAAATTTGCAAAAGCCTACTAAAACATGTGGTAACATCAAACAGGCAATACCAGAAGTGATCTATAATGTATGATTTCTCATTTTTCTAAATCATTTCATTTTTTCCTGAAATATATCCTCTTCTTCATCAGCAGCATCTCTTTAAGGGGGTATGTCAAATTGACACATGCTTTTACAGTTATTTTGTCTGTTACAATAAATTAGCTCATAAAGGTCAGATACATTTTTGAAAAAATATTTTACATGATTATTTCAATGTTTTATCTTGACATGTCTCATGAACAAGATTAGTATAGAATTACAAAAATCATTTAATTAATTTATACACATATACATTAGCTAATTTTTTTATTTGTTAATTTACTTGAAAGAGTTACAGACAGCAAGAGACACACAGAGATCTTCCATCTGCCTGTTCTTTCCCTAAAAGGCTGCTATGGCCAGGAGCTGAAGCCAGGAATCAAGAATTTTGTCCAGGTCTCCCATAGGGGTCTAAGCACTTGGGCCACTTCAAGTGCTTTTCCAAACTATTAACAGGAAGCTAGAACAGAAATGAGACAGCCACGACTGGAACCAGTACCCAAATGGACTGCTGACATTGACCTTGCAGGCAGTAGTAGCTCTACCTGCTGCACCACAACACACGCCCCTCAACATTTGTCTTAAAATGTAAAAATGACCATCTATTTGTATTTTGATTTAAAGTTACAGCTTTATTTTTATTTTCCTTGTATATATTGAATATTTTCATTTAAAAAAATTTGACCAGGGACCAGCATGATAGCCCAGTGATTAAATCTGCACCTTGCATGTGCTTGGATACCATACAGGCACCAGTTTGTATTCCAGCAGCTCCACTTCCCTTCCAGCTCCTTGCTTTTGGCCTGGGAAAGCAATAGAGGATGGGCCAAATCCCTGGGACCCTGCATTCACGTGGGAAACCATGAAGGAGCTCCTGGCTCCTAACATCAGGTCAGCTCAGCTCTGACCACTGTGGCCACTTAAGGAGTGAATCGGCAGATGGAAGATCTTTCTCTCTGTCTCTCCTTATTTCTGTATATCTGCCTTTGCAATAAAAAATAAAAATTATCTTTTATAAAAACATGCATTTTTTTAAATGGACAAAATTTGTGTATATATTTGTTAGGTATAGTGTGATAGTTTTATTGATATAGATAGATAGATAGATAGATAGATAGATAGATAGATAGATAGATAGATATTATATATATATATATATAATATCCAATCAGGGTAAATATAGCTACCTGTTCAAGTATATAACATTTCTTCATGGTGAAAGAATCCAAAATCCTATCTTCTAATTTTTAGTAGATAAATCTGTGGTATATTTTCGTTATCTTTTTCCATCTCACTGTGGTATAAAATTCACAAATCTTAATTTTCCAAGTTCTTCACAATTTTAGCTCCCCTTTCTACATTCAGAATTATGTTTCAATAAAAGTTGCTTGAAAATCCCTTTACTACTTTGTTCAAAGTTTCAACTTCTTGGTGGAATCCTTTGGCCAATCCTGTCTCATTCCCTATGACTATAGTTTCCTTTACTATCATCAAATTCTGCTGACCCAATAAAATTTATCTTTGGGTCAACATTTTACAAGAGCTCAGTTTCTTCCTACTAAACAATTCTCTTCTGAAGTCCTGAGTTACTTTATTTGCAAGAGTGTGGCAATTCGCCTAAGGGCCTTTTCCACTGAGCATGCCAGTGTGCTAAACTGGAAAGAAATCTTTTACAAGTTGCAAAGATTTCTCTTATATTTGTTATACTTGACATACAAGCCTCTTTCTGAACAAAGTAGACAATAAATAAATGCATTTCAAACAACTTAGAGACTTTGTTCATTTTATTAAATTGCTTTGCTCCTTGTATATCTGCTTTAATTAACAAAAATGTGTTTGCAAGATATATTAAACAATCAGCAATCTGACATGTGTATTATATTCATTAACATACAGATTGTTGCTCTGAAAGACACACATTGCTCCTTGACTCTATGCTTTTCTCACTATTCCATCAAAAAATTCCAATGTCTTTAAAAATTATAGTGGCTTGCCTTTGAAAATGTACACGTCCCAGAAACATTAAGGATTTTTGTTTTCAAAGTGACAGCTATGTGTCTCCAAATTTTTCATCAAACACACTCATCAAGCCCACATCTATTAAATTCAGCTCAGTTCCATTAAATGATTTATTCTCAGGCAAACAGAATCTGTAAGCATAGTAATTTACTGCTTCTTATATTTTAAGCAAAACAAATAGGTTATTTTTAATTCAAATCACTTTGAGGGAAATTGAATCATGAGAGAGTCATGGGAAAAATAATACATGCCATATATATATAAACATGTATGAACATATATTCAAGTGAGACATCTTCAAAAGTTCATGAAAATCCATATTATGAGAAAACTGAATGGAGTCCCCAAAAACTGCACCAAAATAACTTCATTTAAAATCCATTTCCCACAAATATTTTAAAGTCCCCTATACATATACAAACATAAATAGTCTGGCTCAGTAATGTATTTAACTAAAATTATTGTTTCATGAGAATGAATTCCTATCTTTGGTACATTAATGTGTATAATTGTAAGTAAACTGTATAATTTTAGAATTTGTAAAATAATATTAAAATTTTATAGGTTTTATATGTTTACAAAGTATGTCAGAATTTTGTAGATTAAGAATGAAAATGATATTCCACTGTCAGGAAAATATCCCTTTTAAAAATTTTTTTTAAATTTCTATCTTCCTGAATACACATTATTCAGGGAGTTACAAAAAATATTATTGACCTCAAATAAAACTTCTAAAACAGTAACAGTAAATCTTATATATCATTCGGAAATAAAAGCTGTTAGTAAAAGTAGGCAAGAAAGCTAGGCGAGTTATTGGCTGGAGTGAATTTGAAGCAGGCTGACTCAAGCAACCGAAGTAAATAATAATTTATGTTTTCCTTGCAGAAAAAAAAATGTGTAATAGGGTAGATAGGAAAGAGGAAAGGTTCAGTTCTCACCTCTGGATATTTTGTCCTTTTACTCTTCCGATTTTATAAGCCAGAATAAGGCTGCTTATGAATAAGCTTTCCCACACATCAAGTTTCTGGAAATGGCTATGTGATTCCAAGGCAAGTCCCAGACACCTGCACCTAGTTCTAGAGCCTGAAGTCTGAAATTATTGCTACTTTCGTGAGAAGTGATAACAGACCCAGATGGGTACTTTGGTAACTCGCTATTCCTCATAGAGCAATTAGCAGCAGGTACAAAAGTGACCAAGAGTAATGGGCTCCCAGGGAAATTTTGTGGGGAAAATCACCGAAAAATTGTTTAACCTAAAAGATTGTCAAGCAAGCCCACAACTCACATACTGAAATAAACCCTTAATGCAGTAAAAATACAGTTCCCACCCTGAGCAAGGTACCCATATAAAGGCATGATTGACATGGAATTATCACTGTTATTTTTGTTTTAAAATACCCAATAGAATTATTTAAGGATGATTATAAAGATCCCTTAAACAAAAGATGTTTATGGCAAACCAAAGTATGCTGCTTAAAACAGGTTTTCAAATATGGGCTTGCAGCAGAGTTAGCAATTAACATTTAACCAGGGTTGTTCAAAATGTTCTCTTGTTGTGTGAGATACTTGGAATATACACTTGGGAGAAACTTGCAGAGTGCTTCAATATAATAAAGACTCTTAGATGTATGCCAAAATGTCCTCAAAGCATTTGGACACAAAATAGCTTATTGACTAACAATTGTTCGAATTGTTGCTAAACAAGATAGAAGGATGAGATTTATGAGATCTTGTCAGAAACAAGTGTTTAATAACAGAGATGTATGGAATGGACATTTGGTAAAGCAGTTAGGACATGTGCAGCCCCCATTGGAGTGTTTTGGTTGTAGTCTCAGCTCTACTCTCAGTTTTAGCTTCTCGCCAATGTGCGTGCTTGGAAGTGGCAGGTGATGGCTCAAGTGGTTGGCTCCCCATCACTCACATGACTAAGTTTCAGACTTAATTACTTCAGCCTAACACAGTCCTGGCTGCTTCAGACATTTGGAAGAGAGAATCAGAACATGGGGGAATCAATCTTTCCTTTCCTTTTCTCTTCTTTTCTTTTCTTTTCTTTTTTTTTTCTTTTCTTTTCTTTTCTTTTCTTTTCTTTTCTTTTCTTTTCTTTTCTTTTCTCTTCTCTTCTCTTTTCTTTCTTTCTTTCTTTCTTTCTTTCTTTCTTTCTTTCTTTCTTTCTTTCTTTCGGTCTTTCTTTCTCTCTCTCATTAAAACAAACAAAAACAGCTATTCTAAATACCACTTTTCACAAAATAGCTAAGATATAGAACCAATTTATGTTTCTATAATTTGCTGAAGAGATAAAGGAAGTATAGCCTATGGAATATTATTCTTCAACAGGAGAGAATGAGATGTTGCCAATTGCAAGAACATGAATGGAATTTATGGACATTATGCTATGTGACTTAAGGCACAGACAGATACCATATGTTCTTACCTATGTGGAAGCTAAAATGTTATCTTGTAGAAGATAGTGGTTATCAGACAGAATCTTGGAAGAGTGGGAGAGGTGGGGATGGAGAGGATGATCAATGGTTGCAGAAGTGCTGTAGGATAGAAGGGATAACTTCCGATGTTCTATAGCACAGAAGATGACTATGGTTGAGACCCACGGATTGTGCATCTCCAAAAAAAAAAATGGCTAATGCCAAGTAATTTGAATGTCCCCAGCAAAATGAAATAATCAATGTCTGAGCTGATTGGCTTGCAATTACCCTGCTCTAATCATAACAGTTTATACAAGTATTGAAGCGTCACAATAGACTTCAGAAATACATAAAATTATTAGGTCAAATAAACATCCACATTTGTCATATATTAATATATCTTATAATGATAGAATTTATTTTAAAAATATTTATTTTTGTTTAAAAGGCAGACTCACAAAGAGAAGACAGAGAGAGATTCTCCATGTGCTGGTTACAATTGGCCACAATGGCCAGAGCTGAGCCTATCTAAATCCAGGAGCCAGGGGCTTCTTTCAGGTCTCCTATGTGGGTGCAGTGCTCACATAGATATTTAAGGCTTGTTTGAGGCTACTATCTTGTTGGACCACCTCCACTGCTTTTCCAGGCTTGTTAGCCGGGAGATCGATGAGAAGCAGAATGGCCAGGACTAGAACTGATGCCCATATGGGGTGCTGGTGCTGTAAACAGAGGATTGGCTTGCTGAGCCTCCGCACTGGCCCCTAAAGACTTTATTTGTTAATCGTTAGTTATAAATCCATGAACTATTCGATTTTATGGAGTGTAGCTACAAACTATGTGAGAAGGGATTCAGACTTACAAAACACTGTCTTCTCCAACTTACATGAGAGAAGGATTTCTCATGTAACTTGGAGAAGATAGTAAAAGCCTTAGTTGATTATGTCTTATCTAGAAGCAAACTGAAAGTAGTTAAAGTACACAAACTGTTGTGGATGGTGTGGCACAGCACCTCAAGTTGCTGCTTCACACACTCACATCCCAGAATGAGTGTTGCTTCACGTTCTGACTACTCTGCTTCTTATCTGGTCCCCTGGTAATGCAGCCTGGATGCAGCAGATGACGGCTCAGGTGCTTGAGTCCCTGAAATTTGTGTGTGAGACACAAATGGGATCCTTGCTCGTGTGTTTGCATATCTCAACCTCAGCTGTTGTGTCTATTTGAAGAATCAATCAGTGGATGAACGGTTTCTCTCTCCCTCTCTTTTTGCTCTCTTGCCTTTCAAATATCTGAATATTAAAAGATAATAATGTACAACAAGTCATTGAACTTATCTGGACAATAAGATGCTGGACTCTATGCTTGGTATATGCTTGCAATGAAAGAATCTCAACTGAACTTGAACTATGGTAATGCAACAAGGTGGAGGAATCCACCATAGGGGGAGGGTTTGGAGAGGGGTGGGGAGAATCCCAGTACCTACAAAACTTTGTCACATAATGCAATGTAATTAATAATTTAAAAAGATAATCATCTCAATTGTGTATGGTATTAATACAAACACTTTTGAATAAACTCAAACAATGACAATGAAAATAAGTAAAATTTTGAATTATATTTGAGGATTTTGATCCTCCTTTATTAGTAACTTTCAAAAAGAAAACATAAATATCTGGAAAATGTAAAATGTTTAGTGATATCATGATGTTACTCTATTTGAGCTACTACAATGATGTAGCACAGGCCAGGTAACCAACAACAGAAACTTTTCAATCTGGGATGTCCAAGATTGAAGAACCAGCAGATTCATTGTGCACCAAAATAGAAAATACTGTTGAAGCCAAATGCTGGCTGTTTGAAAAGATGAGCACAATTTCTCATAGATTTACTGGGCACTCTACAAAGTACTTGGTGCAGGTAGAGCACAGCAGCCAGTTTGGGAATTCATCAAGTAATCCTAGCAAGGATGCTTGGTCAGCCTCATGGTGATGTTACAGGCAGAGAGGTAGATGTTAAGCAGGAAGCGAGGTTGCAGCTCCTCTGTGAAACCCTCTTTGAACCGCCTCACCCTCTCCCTTTTTGCCAAGTGAAAAAGCAAAGTCTTCAGTTTCCCACTCTCTCATGCCATTAAATATTGCCAAACATCGTTGCTGACTACATCCCTGTAATATTAGATAATTACAATATCATATAATAAAATTCCCATGACCAACACTCCCACTCCTATCATACACCTGATGCCATGACTCTTTCCTAGGTCCAAAAAAAAAAAAAAAAATAAGAGGGGGGTGAATTTGTGGTACAAAAGCTGCATCCCAAGATCAATTAAAGCACACCTCAGGTTCTCCACATTATATAAAGGGATGTCTTGAACCTCTTGTGTAGCTCCCTTAAATATGCTCACACACCCGATCAAGAGTATCTTTTGCTTTGCATGCAGAAAAATCTTACTTCTCTGCTAACCTGTATGCGCAACTCAGCCTCAAATTCCTTCTTGCATCAGAGACAAGACCTTGGACATGGCCACCTCATGACAGTGAAGTCCAGAAGCTAGTTAGCAGGACCTGTGGTTGGTTATTGAAAACAACATACCAGTTGCTCTGTATTTCTGTTCTCATTTCAGAAGACTCAGTCACAATCTTCAGTACTCTAGGTGAAAGGAAACATGAGTAGGACTCTGAGCGTCACCTCCTGATGCTGGGGAAGTCAAACATCATTTCATTGTTGTTATCTCTATTGAAAGGAATCTGACATCAGGGGTAGAGGGGCTGGCTTGTCACCACCATCTTGGCTAGTGGAGAAGCAGTGCACATCAAATGGAATACTTCTTAATCTCTTCAATGCATCTATGATCAGACCATTTGCTTCATCTGTGTTTTAGAACTTCAACAAGACTCTGAAGCTTCCAACAAATACTCAGATCAGTATTGTTGTTGGAGGATGAGAGTTGGAACATGTTTATCTGCTATCATGATGATGTCACTCTTCCTGATACAATCATACTAAGCACCTCAGGTGACATTGCGTGCATGATTTCATCGAAATGGTGAAGATTCCATAAGCACTTTACACAGAATTATAAGAAAATCATTGTGTTTTTACATTTTAGGGAACTGTGTTAAGGGGAGTTTTTCATTTAAGGGAACTATGTTAAGGATTTTTTTCCTATACAAATGACATGTTCCTCTGCCCTATCATTCCCCTTTGCCTTCATAGCAGCTAAACATCATAATATTACCTCATATTCAATCCCTTATTCAGAGTGAGCATCCACTCTGGTCAGAGCTAGCTTGATGCTATAGTCAGCTAATTCTCCATCTGCAATACTTGCATCCCTTATAGACACAGGTTTAAATCCCAGCTGCTCAACTTTTAATTCAGCTCTCTGCTTGTGGCCTGGGAAGGTGGTGGAGAATGGTTCAAGTCTCTGGGGCCCATATCCCCACATGAGAGACCCAGAAGAAGCTCCAGTCTCCCAGATGGGCTCAACTTTGGCTGGGGTGTCCTTTTGAAAAGTAAACCAGTGAACAGAAGATCTCTAGCTTTGCTTGTCTGTGTAAATATGCCTTTAAATTTAAAAAAAAAAGCTTTAGTAAAAAAGTTTACTAGTTTCACAATTCTAGAATCTAGGAACTAAAGGAGCATGGCACCAACACCTGATCAGCTTCTCATGAGGATCCTGGCACTGTTTCACTTCATGGTACAGGGTCAAAGGGCGAGCAGGTGCATGTGGAAGGGACAATCCACATGGGAAGCTTTGATTCTTGACAACTCATTCCTCCATTAAATCAAACTGCATCACCATTTAAAAAATAACAGTGGGCATTAGTATCTTAGCTAGTTCTTATATGTGACAAAGTCTTACAGTTGTTACTGTGTATACATTAGCCTCAACATAATACGAGGTAAAGGTTGTTTAGTTTTAATAACTTTTTTGAGGATAACAATGATTAATTTAGGCAACAATTAAAATACAAATATTTTAAAGAATATCTTAAGATCTTCATATAATTGTTTACAAAATACATTTCACTTTAGTTCATACCATATTATATATACAACCAATGAGAATGGTTACTGGTACTACAAGTTGTCATATATAAAACAGTTGATTCACCTGTCTTTTACATCGAATTCTTTTACTTCCAAAATGTTAGCAATAACAATTGCCTACGAATCAGGCAGATCTTTCCAAGATGACTCTAGAGAGATATAACTCCTTCCTGAAACTCTCTAGTGAGAAGAAAGCATACATCCCTTAGGGAGAGGGGCAGAATAAGGAGGTAGAACATAAAGAATCGGAATATGTTTATAATCCAACATTTTAAATACAAGAAAAAGATTCAATATAATCATCATGCAAGAACACCTTCTATGCCTGTGTGTGTGAGTGTGTGTCACTGAGGGCATGGCTAGAAGAAAAGTGGTATTCTCTTCTAGGACAAACAACCTTCCTCAAATCAGATAAGGTCTCTGAGTGCAACAAAGGCTTCTCAATGCACAATGTTAGAGGTGAGGATGGGGCAGATTTACATCCTCTAGATTTTGGGTAGTCAGAAGAAACACTGTGGAGAAAATCAGGGAGTGAACTATGAGAAGCAATAGCCACCTGCTGTTCCTTCTCAAACATTATGATTAAAGGTATGTGACACAGCTGGTGTCTTACGATTAGAGGGTGGTGGAAGATAGTGAATTAAAGTGTGAAAATGAAGAACTGATACCTGAACTGTTAGTTTATTTTAATTAGTTTGTTTCTTGTCCTGTAAGGGTTATCATAGTATACATAGCCTCCCAGTACCATTGTTATAAAATTGTGGTGAGTTGTTCTAAATTAAGTATTTCATTAATTAAATTAATGTTCTTTTGGCACTGAGGGAGGCGGCATATGAAGCTAAGCCACGGAGCTATTAAAATTATTTTAGTTCCTACTTCCATTTCTTTCATATATCTACTGTATTGGAAGCCCATCTTACAATTTTAACCTTCAGAGACTTGTCAGGACTTAGTGACCACTTATTAATATTAAAGTCCATAAAATGTAATTTAGTATTTGACATGGAATTCCTTCATCTTCAGGTTAAATCACAGCACTTATTCGAATGACTTGAATATAAATACCTAGATTATCTTGTACCTTGTGATTCAGTTAGGAGATAAAACATTGAGCTATGTTAGGCACTGCCTAGCCAAGCATGGATTCCTTGAAGTAACTATGGGAAAATTACTTAATAATCTTTCCATGGATAATTTGTATCAGTTCTATTCTTACAGCTATTTCAGAAGTACTGATTACACAATAACAATCAACATTCAGGAAATGTTTCTTGTGTGTCGAACAGCACTGTGCTTCACATGCATTCTATATTATTGTATCACAGATTCTT